ATGTTTATATATATATATGGCTTCCCTCTTTTGAGTTTTAGTTTATTTGCTTCTTTGTTCTTTTTTGTTTATTTGCTTCTTTATCTCTTATCGCGCCATCCTCGTTTGTTTTTCATGCAGCCTGCAATACTTATTTTTGTGCTACTGCTGTTGCTGCTGTTGCTGCGCTTGGTACTGCTGCTGCTGCTTCCGCTGCTGCTGCTGCTGCTGTCGCTGCTGCTGCTCTTGTTGCTGCTGCTGCTGTTGCATTGTTAGAGCCGCATGTTTATATCATCGCTGCCTGGCTATACAATATATATAAATATAAATAATTATATTTTGTTCATTTGCGTTCCTGTTTTTCTCTCTTCTGCATATAGCCCTTGCATGCAGCCTGTCTGTAGTGGGAGCAGCAGCAGCAGCAGAAGCAGCAAGCGCAGCAGCAGCAACAACACTGGCAGCAGCTGCAAACACTGTAGCACTTTCACGAACAGCAGCAGGAGCAACAGCAGCAGCAACAACAACAGCAGCAGCAGGGCTGCATGCGTACGTACACCTAAGAGGTGTAATTTTGTTTGAGTTCAGCTTATAAGACAAACATTCTGTTGTTTTCTTCTTCTAATAGTATTGCTGCTGCTGCTGTTGCTGCTGCTGTTGTTGCTGCTGTTGCTGCTGCTGCATGTGTAGCTGCCAGTACACCGCAAGTTGCAGCGCATGCATGCACCAGAAGTATTTCCAGCTGCCTTGCACCATCTAAAAAGTGTTATTAAAATTAAAATTTTAAATTTGATTAAAGTAAATCCAACAGAAAAAACATCAAACAAACAAACAAACAAACAAAACAAAAAAACAAAAAAAAACGGTAATAAAGAAATGCAAAGAAAAAGAAAAAGACAGATAAATTAAAGCAAATAAAATAAAACAAATAAAACAAAACAAATAAAACAGATAAAATAAAATAAAACAAAGAAAATAAAGAAAATAAACAAAAGAAAAGAAGAGAAACGAGGTGGTGAGTTAGCAGACAGACAGAAGAGATAAGCAATAAAAAACAAATAAATTATAATAAATAAATAAATTATATTTAAATTTATTTATCTTTAATTCTAAATAAACACAAACTGCTGTCGGCTGTCCCAACAGCAAAAAATTCGCCGCCCCACACATCGAGAGACACCGCAGCACTCTCACCAGCCCTGACGCAGCAGCAGCAGCAGCAGCAGCAGCACCAGAAGCAGAAATAGCACAAACAGCAGAGCACACACACAGCATCCGAAGCAGCAGAAGCAGCAGAAGCAGCAGCAGCAGAAACAACACACACACAACACCAGAAGCAGCAGCAAAGGCAGCAGCGGAGGCAGCAGCAGAAGCAACAGCAGCAGAAGCAACAGCAGCAGAAAGAGCAGTACAAGCGGCAGCAGAATTACCCAGAGAAGAAACACAAACAGCAGCAGCACAAGCAGCACAAGCAGCAGCAGCAGCAGCAGCAGCATTAAAGAAAGGATAAGACTGAGCCGTAAAGACTCACGATAATATTCTTAGAGAAGAAAAGCAAGAAATAAGCAAACTAAAAATAAATTAAAATAAAAGAGAAACAAAAAGAGAGAAAGAGAGACTAGGAGACAGTTTAAGTTTTTAATCACTGACCTCAGCCGACGGGGCATCGAAGGATGGAGACAAACGACATCAGAGACACCTCCTCCCCCTTCAAAGCAGCAGCAGCAGCAGTTGCTGCTGCTGCTGCTGCTGCTGCTGTTGCAGCAGCAGCTGTTGCTGCTGCTGCACTTCCAGAACTGAATGTCTCCTCTTCTGCATCAGAGACAAACACGAGAAAAAATATTTATTATATTTTTAATATTTGTTTAAAATAAAATTAAAATAAAAATATAATAATAATAACTATCAAAGAACAGCAACGCAAAATGAAGCAGCAACAATCTTTTCTACGGTCTGTAAATTAGGGTCTAGGGTTTAGGGTTTAGGGTTTAGGGTTTTGGGGTGTACGCGTTGCCAGAGACGAAGCAATTGCGCTGTCCCCACGCAGTTAAAGCAGTCAAAGGATATTTTGTCTCCTCATCCGCTGCTGCTGTGCTTCTGCTGCTATTGCTGCTGCTATTGCTGCTGCTGTTGCTGTTGCTGCTGCTATTGCTGCTGCTGCTGCTGCTGCTGCTGCTGCTGCTGCTGCTGCTGCTGCTGCTGCTGCTGCTGCTGCAGAGTTGTTCATTGATGCTCCAAGCAACAGGCAAATGGCTGCCTGTATTAGCAGCAGATATTCCTGCTAGAGTGCATTTGTTTGAATTATTAAATGAAGAATTAGCTGCTTTTAATGCTGATAAAGAAGAGACAGCTGAACCCGCTAATTGAATGCTGAAACTATCAATAAATACACGCGGAGGCACAGAAGGGCAGCTCACAGCCAAAGGGTATAGGGGTTGACTTAGAGAAGAACAAGCAGAAGAAAGAGAAGAATAATTAAAAGATAAAGAAGAAGATAAAGATGAAGATGAAGATAAAGATGATGATAAAGAAGTAGGTGAGGATGATAAAGATGTGGGAAGACAACAAATTGAAGAACATACACCTGAGGACCAACACACGCACGCGTTCGAACCCCAGCAAAATCAAAAATTTAATCGGCGAATTAATTAATTTAATTAATTAAATTTAATTAAAATAAAATAAATAAACACAAAAAGATATATTAAGGATAATATATATAAACAGAAAAAGAAATAAACAAACAAACAAAACAAACAAACGCAAAAAATAATAATATTCATCCAAAACGACAAACAAAGAGGAAACATATAAAGACTAATAAAAATAAATAATATTAAAAAATAAAAATAAATATAATAGCAGAAGAAGAACATCAAAACTAACGAAGATGAAAATAAACAGAGCAGAGACAACAAAACAGTAAAAAACATAAAATTAATAATAACAATATTATTAATAATATTAAAAATAATAATAAAATTAAATAAAAATAATATTAACATTAATAATAGTAAAAATAATAAAACTAATAATAATACAATGCTTTAATACTACTAATAATAATATTAAAAGCAGATATAATAATAATAAAATATTATTATTATATTATTATGTTAGAAGTAAACAACAAAGAATAAAAACAAAGAAAAAAGAGAAGACATAAAAAGAAGCAAATAACAATAAACCTAATAACACCAATAATACAAATGCATAAAGGATAAATAATATATATATATATATACATATATATATATATATATATACGTATAAATATATAATATATAGATGAATATATATATATATATATATGTATATATACGTATAAGTATATACTATATAGATGAATATATATATATATATATACGTATAAATATATATTATATATATACATATATATATATATATCTATTATATATATAAAAAGTGTTATTAGTGTTACAGTGTGTCTGGATGATTGAAGTGGGGACGACGAATTTATTGTTGCGAATATCAGCAGACACGGCAAATCCTTCAGCATAGCCAAGACAGAAAGCGTAGTTAGTTGAGGTGTATGCGCAGCTCAAAGGGCTTCTAAACAAAGCAGCAAAAGTATTAGGTGTTGCTCCTTTAAAGCTGCATGCAAATTGCTGCTGTGGTGCTGCTGCTGCTGCAGCACAAACAGCAGCAAATAAACAAAAAGGAAAACAAAAATAATTAATAAAATATATATACACAAATTAAATAAAAGATATTCACAGAATAATTACATTAAACAACAACAAAATAAACAGACAAATAAACAAATAATTAAACATAAATAAATAAATAAATAAATAATTAAACATAAATAAATAAATAAGTAAATGAATAAACAACACAAACAAAAACAAAAGTCCTCTTAAGAAACCTGAAGCTACATTTTAATTCTAACTGCATGTTGCTACTGCTGCTGCTGTTGCTGCTACTGCTGTTGCTGCTATTGCTGCTGCTGCTGCTGTTGCTGCTATTCCTGCTGCTGCTGCTGCTGCTGCACCTCTAAGATCAAATCCCTGAATGGTGTTGTCTATGCATGCAACGAGTAGAGATCCTCCGGCAGCAGAAGCAAGGCCCCAGAATGTGGGGCGTCTGCATGCATCTGCTGCTGTTGCTGCTGCTGTTGCTGCTGTTGCTGCTGCTGTTGCTGCTGTTGCTGCTGCTGTTGCTGCTGTTGCTGCTGCAGCATTAGACTTTGGGGTGTATCTCCACAGGCATTTCATTTGCTGCGCATCCCACACTTTGAGGGTATTGCTGCATGCACTAACGAGCAGCAGCTGCTGCTGTTGCTGCTGCTGCTCCTGCTGCTGCTGCTGTAGGAAGCAGAGTCTTTCTATGGGTTGTTTGTGTGCATTAGAGACAGCAGCAAAAGCAACATGATGCTTCTCTGTCTCTTTTTGTCTCCGTTGCTTCTTCTGTCTCCTTTCTCCTCCCGCACAACCCCCATCGCATGCGCACACAGGCAATGGAGCTGCTGCTGCTGCTGCTGCTGCTGCTGCTGCTGCTGCTGCTGCAGCAAACTGTCTCTCCTCCCCATACGTGCTGCTGCGGCACTTACGGTGTACGTACACCTCATAGCAGCAATTCAGTCGCTGGTTTTCACTGTCTTCACGCAAATCCTGCTGCTCGTGCTGCTGCTGCTGCTGCTGTTCCTCCTGTTGCTGCTGCTGCTGTTGTTGCTGCAGCTGCTGCTGTTGTTGTTGCTGCTGCTGCTGAAGTGTAAGCACTTCTTTGTGCTCCATCGCTTGCTGTTCTTCTGGTTGCTGCTGTTGCTGCTGTTGTTGCTGTTCTTGTTGTTGCTGCTTCTGCTGCTGCTGTTGTTGCTGCTGTTGCTGCTGCTGTTGCTGCGGTTCTTCAGGATCGCAGTCGCCCCGCTGCTGCAGCAAAGGGGTTTGGTGCAGCAGTTGCTGTTCTTGCATGCACTGCAGCGCGGTCCTCTGTTGCTGCTGCAGGTCTTGCTGCTGCTGTTGCTGCCGCTGCTCCTGTTGCTGCTGCTGCTGCTGCTGGTGCGGCAACGCCGACTGCTGCAGCGGACCAACAAGGGTCTGCTGCTGCATTTGCTGCTGCTGACTTTGCTGCTGCTTCTGCTGCTGCTGCTGCGGAGTCGAGGCAATTTGCTGCTGCAGCAAAAGTTCTTGACTTTGCTGCAGCAGCAGACGGGCCTCCTCCAGCTGCAGCAGCTGCTGCTGTCTCTCTGTCTCCATCAGGTCATCTGCTGCTTCCTCGAAGCAGCAGGAAGCCTGCAGCAAACCCCACAGGAGCAGCAGCAGCAGCACCAGTAACAGCAGCAACAGGTGAGACTTCAGCTGCAGCAACAGCAATCCAGGAAGGACCGACAGCAGCAGCAGCAGCAGCAGCGAGAGCAACAACGCAAGCAACATCTTGTTGCTAACCTGACTGCGCTGTAGCTTTGCTGCCTTTTCTGTCTCCTCTTCGCCTTCTGCTGCTGCTGCTGCTGCTGCTTCTACTCTTGCTTCTGCTGCTGCTGCACCTCCTGCAGCAGCAGCAGAGGATGCTGCAGCAGCAGACCAAGAGACAGCAGAAGCAAGTCAAAAAGTGCTGCGCCCGCAGCAGCAGCAGCAGCAGTAGCAACGGCAAGAGCAGCAGCAGCAGCAGCAGAAGAAGCAGCTGCAGCAGCAATCCATACACAGGGAGAGCTGAAAGAAGAGACAAAAAAGAAAAGCTGCAGCAAACAGCAGCAGACAGCAGCATTTGCTTCTCACTGTCTCCATCTGCTTGGCCCTCATCCCGCCGGTGCTGTTGCTGCTGCTGCTGTTGCTGCTGCTGCTGCTGCTGCTTCTGTAGCTGCTCCTCAAGAAAAGCCACTGTACGCCGGAGGCTCGATGTCTCCTCTTCAAGTCGCTGCAGCAGCAGCAACAGCAGCAACAGCAGCAGCATCAACATTAGAAAGGACAGCAGGAGCAACAGAAGCAGCAACAGCAGAAACAGCAACAGCAGTAGCAGCCGAAAAGGAGACAGCATAAGACAAAAGGAGACAGCACAGCAGCAAGGCATCTGCTCCAATCAGTTCAAAGCAAACGGTAGCCAGCCTCAGCAGCAGCAGCAAGAGCAGCAGCAGAAGCAGCAGCAGCAGCAGGAACAGCAGCAGCAGCAGCAGGAACAGCAGCAGCAGCAGCAGGAACA